AGCGGGAGCAGGAAGCTTCCGGAGACCTCCGAGAGACCTCTGGGACCCCCCAGAGGCCCCCAACACACACCCCGATCACTGAGAGGCCCCCAAAAAGACCCCGACGAGGCCCCAAAAACAGCCCAAGAGAGCCGCGAGAGCCGCCCCGAAAGAGGCCCAAGAGGGTAAAATCGCTGATTCCCAATAGTTTTTCCAATGTTTTCGCCTTCTCACGTTTTCCTGCTTCCAACCTTCAAAGATCGAGGATTTTGAAGATAAAAAAAGAGAAGAAGGAATTCCAAGAATCCCCTTTTTGTCAAAGTGGGACTCCTACTCGGAGGTCCCACACATCCCCTGACATCTGGCCGGTACCGCGCCTCCTGGATCGGGAAGATCCCACATCCTTGAGGGGTCCGGCTAAAAAAAAACGCGAGGCACAAACCAAAAAAACAGCGCCGAGGAATTGGGGAAAAATGGGAATCCCACAATTCATTGTTTTTTTAGTTTGGCCCCCGGTCTACTCTTGCACAACAGACCACAAGTCAGACCCCCTCACCTCCCAAAAAAGAACCCAGGAAGCCTTTGAGGGCCCCAAATCGTTCAGTACCTAAAGAAAAGTAATGATTTGTGCGTTTCCGCACTTCCCCGTCTATACTGTTCCGAGACTTGCGCAGGGCCTCCAAGGGAGCCCCTGGACGCAAGAAGCGACCAATTACATGAACTATCCGATCAAGCTTGGCTAGAACTTGAGCGCTCGCGAAGCGCACGCGATGATTCTAGTGCATGTGTGTAAATATATACATAAAGATATAGAAATATATACACACAGTGTACCTCTAAGTACGCATTTAAACGTTCGTGGGTGTCTATATATATATATGTATAAATGTAGGTGCATTATATATGTGTATATATATTTATATGTACATATATGATGAATAGATATCCATACATACATAGATATATAACAAAATCAATTGCTACATACGTATATGCATACACACAGTCAGACAGACAGGGCCAGACAGACAGGCAGACAGAGAAACAGGCAGGCAGGCAAACAGGCAGGCAGGCAGACAGACAGACACACGTACAGACACACGTACCGACATACACACATACATACATACATGCAGGCATACACACATACAGACAGGCAGGCAGGCAGGCATGCGTGCAGACATATCTACGTATATACATGCATGTGTATCTACAGACCTACGTGCATACATACATACATGCATGCATTCATACAGTTATACGTATATGTATATGCATACATGTATATATATATATATATGTTCATGCACATACATACATGCGTACGAACCTACATGTATACATACCTGTATGCGCACATGCATGCACACATGCATAAACGTATACACACATACATACATATATACAGACATACTTACATACATACATGCATGCATGCATACATACATGCATGCATGCATGCATACATACATACATACACGCATGCATGCATGCATGCGTACGTACATACCTGAATGCATGAAATGCATGCATGTGCACATACGTACATACAAACACCTGCATACACACATGCATGAATGCATGCACGCATACATACAAGCAGACATGCATACGTAAAGGCATGCATGTATACATGCATGCATGCTTGTGTGCGCGTGCATACATAAACGCATACATACAAACATACATACATACATACATTAATACATACATGCAAGCGTATATACGTGCACACATACATACATACGTACATACATGCACACAAACATACATTCAATCATTCATTCACACATACAGACAGACAGACAGAGACAGACAGACACACAGACACGCAGACATACATGTATATCTGTTTGACTATATGTAAGTATACACCTGTTGATCATCATGTGTGTGCGTGTATCCCCCAGCCTGACTCTCCTTTCCTCGTTCCGCTTCCCTCTCCTCATGGGGACCGTCAGCGGGCCCCCAAGAGGCCACGGCCCCCCCCCCCCCCCCCACCCCCTGGTACCCGAGCCAGCAGAGCGCACGCGCCGCCGATCCTCGTGGGGCCCGGGGCGGGCCCCGGCTGGGCCGGTGCGGGGCGCTCGTTCAGGAATGTGCCCAGGAGGCGTCTCGGGGAAGGAAGAATGACGTAAACACAAAAACTCGGAGGTCCGCGCGGATTCATCCGATCCGCGCTGGGGCCCTCTGGCGGCGCCTCCGGCGCCGTTCCTGGCGCGCTCCGCGCGCCAGGGAGGGGGGTCCAGCGCCGATCCGAGAAATCCGCGCGGACCTCCGAGAGTTTATGTTTATGTCGTTCTTCGTTCCCCTAGCGTCAGGCCCTGGAGAATTCCTTACCTGATGAGGGCGGCGGTGACATCCATGGCCACTCCGCGATTGGAGTTCCACTACCGCTACCCTTCCCTCGATTTCTCCTTATTGGGCCTCCTGGGAAGCCCTCGTCGAAACCACTGGATTCGCCTCGGGATCCTGGTCAGAACGCACCCCAGGAGAGGTCCGGGGAGTAGCGGTATCGGTACCTTTTGTTTTCCCCAGAGGGCGGCAGTGATATCCGTTGCCCTTCCACGATTGTATGTCCACCAGCTTCCAGGCCCTCGACTCCTTATCCGATGGTTCCTTATCCAATGCCCTTACCGTAGTTGGCATCGTCCAGCCCTCCTCCACCTCGTCGCGTCGTGAAGCCAAAACACGGCGGATCGATTAGGGTTGTTCTCCGCCTTCGGGGTCCCTTACCAGGCCACAGGGCCGCCAGAAAACGGTTGGGGATGAAAACCCAGTCCTGGCGAAGTGGTTCAGACGTCCGTTTTGCGAGAGAATCACGGCGGCGGGGGTCTGGGTCCCCCATTTCCCTTGCAGACGTGAGGACGTGAACAAAGTGTCACTTTGCGTGCGGTGCAGAAGCAGACGCGCGTGCCACATCTCGCGCACGCTCTCTCCGATGGACTGCCGACGCGTCCGATTCTTGGGCGCCCTCTGCTGCCACAGCGGCGCCACCTCCCTGCGCACGGGTGGCCCACCAGATGCGAAGCCAGACGCAGACTTCCGCCACCTTGCTCCCCGCTCGACCCTGAGATCCGACGTTGCAAGAAGATTGCAACGTCGCACAAAATCTCGCTCGGCCGCCGGACCCCATCTTTCTGCGTCATTTTTTGAGCCGGATCGATGTGTGAGGGACCCGGGGCCCGTAATCGAGCAAAAACGCTTGTTGCGAAAAAATTGCAAAGCCAGGATTTCAGGGGGTGCTGACCGACGCAGTCCCTCGTGGGGCAGCCGTCGCAGAAAGCCCGCGCGCCACCAGAGGCGCGCAACGCGTCCCCGTTCCTGACCGACGCCCCCACCTCCACCCCCACCTCCTCCTCCTCCTCCTCCTCCTCCTCCTCCTCCTCCTCCTCCTCCTCCTCCTCCTCCTCCTCCTCCCCCTCCTTCTCCTCTTCCTCCTCCTCCTTTTTCGGGGACAGGGTTTTCATCCCGCGGGTCGTCCTCTGACAGGCCCGGTTCCTGGGAAAGGGTCCCCCGGAAGTCGAAAATCCGCGACACGTAAGAGTGATTCTGTTTTGGCGAGGGGGTCCAGGGGCCGCGCACGCTGTCAAAGTCAAGACGCTAAAAGAAGGACCACTTGGGGCTCAGGAATTTTCGGGCCGTTCCCTACAGATCTTGGTCGGAGAACCTATTCGAAGCCGAGGATCGCCGTGGCCAGAGGAGCCCCTGCGTTCCTCACTTAGCCTTCCTCGTGGTAACAGGACGACTGCACTGTCGCACCAAATGCAACGATCAGGTGGCCGCACACCAGAGACCACTCCCTGCCCAGGGCCACTCTTGGCGTGCAGCTGGCTACATCACCCCAGACTCCCGACGCCATGGTTTTTTTCGGTAGCAAATCATGGGAACCTGGCATACCCTCTTGTTGTCCGTCTTTAGCGTCGACTAGTGTCGATTAGCGTCTGGGAGTCGATGGGAAAGCCCGATTTAGCGTCCGAGCGTCGATTTAGCGTCGAGCAGTGCCGATTTAGCGTCGAGTCGCAAGGGCCGACAAGATGACATGGGAGGCTCCCGTGATTTGCCACCGAAGATTCTCAAATCGCATAGACCCCCGGAGGTCTCGACCCGTTCCCCGGGAACCGGCTTCTCATCCAGGGTCGTTTCTTGACGGCCCTGGGGCCCCGCGATGGCCCCCGGAGGCCGAGCGCTAACACACAGAGAGGACCGCCGCCGTGACCCTCTTCATCCGGGAGGCAAGAGACACACACTTTTGGCGTCGGCGGCTAGGCAGAAAGACTGCGCTGGCGGATAGGGCGTCGCAGGACAGACGAGCGCGAAGTAGGCCGCGATGCACGAGGGGGGGAGAAGGAGGACGCCCGGCGGTAACGGAAGAGAGACAGGCTAGAATCACGCAGGCACAACTCATCTTCGATCCCCAGGAAAGTGATGGGAAAATCGGGGAAGTGGGGAGAAAAACGAAAACCCATGAAATGTTGGAACATGTTCGGGATCTTGGGATCTGTGCCAATTTGTTTGTGTGTCCCTAGCCCCCTTTAGATTCATGACGCCAGGGGGGCTGGGACCGCGCGCCAGCGTCCTGTGACCAGCGGCACCCCCTGGCTGGGCCGGCCTCGGTGCCCGACGAGCGCGCGCGCGCGGAGAGATCGAATAGGGGATCGACTACAGAATCGAACTGCTCCAAAAGTGGTTCCCGCCGAACCGAGGGAGCAAAAACGTACGATACACCGGAAATCGACATGGAGACATCCGACGCCTCTTTTTGTTTGTCCGTCGATTCGACGGACAATTTAATTCTGGCGAGCATTTTCTTAGGGTGGAGGGCTCAGGGTGAAATCCATATGGGCTTTCGCACCTCGAAATCAATCCGTGTTGTGATTCACCTTTTGCAGATTCAAACCTCGAACATCGTTATCGAAACGGCATTTCAGATTTCACCCTTTGCCCTCCACCCAAAGAAAAAGCTCGGAAATCAATTATGCAGCCGATCTCCTACGCGAAGAGGGAGTGCCGTGCTGCAGGCCGCGGCCTCGATGCTCGCCAGCACCGACGAGGCGCCGGCGGTGCACCACGGCGCCGTGGCGAAGGCGCGGCCCCGGGGCGCCCTCGGGGCTGCCCTCCTCGAGGCCTCCCAGATGGGGTCGGAGGGAGGAGGAGGAGGAGGAGGAGGAGGAGGAGGAGGAGGAGGAGGAGGGAGGAGGGAGGAGGGAGGAGGGAGGAGGGAGGAGGGAGGAGGGAGGAGGAGGAGGAAGAGCACACTAGACCTCCTAGATGGGGCTCCCCCCCCCTCGAGGCCTCCTAGATGCCCAGGGAGGAAAAACCACCTGGGCCCGATAACTGGCGTTTACTGAACGGCCTTGGGCGTTTACTGAACAGCCCTGCCCTGTTTGATTCCTTCTTTGGGTGCGTTCACGAAACGGCTTCGCGTGTCGAAGTCATCCTCATGGGGGGTGATTTTCTGCCCTCTAAGATGGGGTCGGAGCAGGTGGGGTCGGAGGATCGCGCCGCACCGCCGATGCATCGGCGATGCGACTCGACGTGGAGCCCGACTTTCTCCACGCCGACGTCGCCCACGCATCGCCGACGTCGCCAGTGCATCGCGGATGCATCGCCGATGCATTGGCGGTGCGGCGCGATCCTCCGACCCCATCTACTCCGACCCCATCGAGGAGGCCTCTACCTCCTGCCTGCTCCCCAGACGCCCTCGGGCCATGAAAAATCGCGACGGGAGGTGTGTCACCATCTTCAAGCCCATCTGGAGGCCCTTGCCGAGCTAACGGGGCCGTCTAAGAACGGCTCGGGATGAAAGAGCGGCCCTGGGGAATGGGGCGAGACCTCTGGGTGTGGACGGAATGGAGAAAGCATGGTCGGGGGGTCGGGGCCTTGGGCCCTGCCATCCCCAGATCTCCAACGATCTGTCTGCGCTCGACCCTGCCAGTTGTTCGTCGATTTTGGCCACAGGGGGTCGTTATTAGGGCCCGGGACCAGCTAAAAAGGGATCGGGGACGCAAAACCACCCCCCCAGAAAAAGAGGGCGGGACTTCCTGGCGTCGCGGATCGAGAACGTCAGATCGAGCCTCGAGGCCGAAGGTTGTTGGACGTTTTTCGGTATTTTGGGGGGACCTCCAGGAGCGCTCTCGCCGTCACGGCTGGATCCGTTTCGATCTGAGTGTGCCCCAGGATGGGTCCAGGGATCGGCTTTTGACCCCACAGTCCAGCCCTCCAGCACTTGGAGAAACAACGGAAAAAACTAAGGTTGTCCTCGTTTTCGGCCTCTGGGGGCCCTCGCCGGACCGCAGGCACGTCAGAAAACAACTCGGCTGCAAAACCGGCCTCTGAGAATGGGTTGGGGAGCTCGGCAACCCCAGATTGACAAAATCATGACGTCGGATCTTTGGGTTTCTGAGACCCTGACATTTTCGGGTCGTGGCAAAATCACGACGCAGAGTTTTTGGCGATGCTCCGCTTCAAAGGCCCTTGCAGGGCTCTGAGGTCGTCGAAATTTGTTTTGTGGAACAGCGAGTCCCCTGAAGGGGATCCAGTTCGCTGGGAGGCCACGTTGCGAAACAAACACGACGTCAGGAAGCGGAGGAGTAGGAGGAGGATCAGGAGGGTGAGGAGGAGGAGGATTAGGAGGAGGAGGGGGAGGAGGAGAAGGAGGGGGAGGGGGAGGGGAAGGAGAAGGAGAAGGAGAAAGAGAAGGAGGAGGATGAGGAGGAGGAGTTGAAGCCAGACTTGCCGAGGCCGCCTGAGCCCAAGGCTTCCAACGAGGAAGTCATGCTCAAGACGGGCAAGCCTTCGTTTTTGTTTGTGTTCAGGCGGAGGAGGCTGAGATGTTTGCCGAGAACCCTCAGGAGTGGATCAAAAGCTATGCTCGACATGCTAGTTGAGCTTGAGGGCTCCTGGGCCTCTTTGCTTCTCAAGGACCTCGAGTGGCTCCCCCAAGTGGTCTCGCTCCCTCTTTTTTGTCCCCTCCAGGGGACCTGCGTTGAGGCGCGCGACTAGTGATCCAAAAGTCTGGAAGGGCCTTCTCAAGCCTGCTGGCATAGGGGCCACGAGAGCCGAGTTTGATCAACATCGGTTGATGCTGAATCGTAGGGATGTTCTGGCTTAGTGCGCGGCGACAGGGGTCTCCTCTCCTCATGCATCTGGCGTCGAGGACCCCAATAGTCTTTACGTGTGCCCGGAATGCGACGACACTTCTATTACCCCCCATGTCTGGGCAGTTCACAGAGCTAAGCACCATCCAGAAGTAGACTTAGTAAAAACAGTGGCACGAAGGAGCGTGTGCCAATCCTGTAACAGGCTGTCTGTTACTAGTTTAAGGTTGTTCAAGCATCTCAGGCACTGGTCCAAAATCTGCTTGTCGATTTTAGTTGCGACCCTGAAGCCTCCTACACAAGAGCAATTTCTGCAGCAGCGTGAGGACAACTTGGCTTGTGCTGCAGAGCTTGCATCCCGTGAGCTGTACGCAGAGCAGGCTGAGAAAAAAATATTCAGATGTGTAGGACCAGGCCTTAGAGGGGCCACCGACGAACGCTGGCAGAAGCTAGCTCCAGAGGCCAGAGCAGCAGCTGAGTTTCACGCAGCGCATGTGCCCAACGCCGTGCCAACACCTGTTCCACCGCCTACGCAGCAAGTTGCCTTTCGTTCTGATATGTGTCTGGCCAGCGCAGGCGGCAGGACGTTCAGCAATACATTAACGTCCTTGCATTCGAGCAAGGGCCTAGGCTCAGAGTGTCGAATATAGATGTGGCCAACGGTGCTAAGGCAGGAGACCTATCTTCGCTCGCAGCAGTCGAAGCGTTGATAGATTTGGTGCTCTCGGGTCGCGTGTGGGCAGTGATGGCTGGACCACCATGTGAGACCTTCAGCACAGCCCCTCTCAGGAGTAACCTTTACCCGAGGGTCATTCGGTCCAACTATTTCCGCGGGGCATGCCGACCAGAGGCGCGGCTGAATTGGACCAGCTCGACCTATCGAAGGCCCCCCTCCGCGCCAACGTCCATTTCGCTTTCGCGCGTTCCGCCGTGGGGCCAGGTTCGTCATGGAACACCCGGAGTGCCCGACGGAGGATCACCTGCCCTCGAGTCGGACGGTTGAGGAAGTCTCACAATTCTTCTCTATCCCCGGGGCCCAGCGTGTAAGTTTCGATCAATGCGCGTTTGGAGCTGAGAGCGTGAAGCTCGCTACCTTCCTTGTCTTGAATGCGCCTGGCATGGGGGAGGTGTTGTGTCGAATGCCTGCCCGAGGCATGTGTTCACATAGTTTCGGTCACGCGTCGCTCGAAAGATTGGACGCTCGTGGCAGGTATACGACAGCAGCCGCCAAGCAGCATCCCCAACAGATGCGCAGGTGGTTGGCCCACTCCATCGTGAACAGGCCCCCGCCCGCAGGTGCCGGCTCATCGACCTCTACGGCCACTCGGAAGCGCGCGCCCCCCCATGTCCTACCCTTTTTCGCCCCCCTCGATCCCCACCTAGACCAGCACAGGTGAGGACAGCTCGCCCAGGGCAGGGCGCGACGGAGCGCGGGGTGGGTGGGAGTTGACCGTCGCCTTTCTCTCTCTGTCCTCCGTTCTTGTTCGCATGATGGTCGTGGTCGTCGTCTCTCTATTACTCGATGGCCGCCCGCGCTCTCTGTGTCTCGCCGCTGCGCGCCGCCCACCTCGGACCACCCTCATCGGGAGCATGAACAGAACGGGAGGAGGAGGAGGAGGAGGAGGAGGAGGAGGAGGGCGACGACGACGACGACGAGGACGACGACGACGACTGGGAGGAGGAGAAGGAGGAGAAGGCGGGGAAGGGGAAGGGGGGGGAAGGGGAGGAGGAGGAAGAAGAGGAGGAGGAGGAGTAGGGGAGGGAGGGGGAGGCGGACGAGCAGGAGTAGGAGGAGGGGGAGGGGAAGGATGGGGAGGAGGAGGAGGAGGAGGACGACGAGGAGGACGACGAAGAGGAGGACGACGACGACGAGGAGGAGGAGGAGGAGCAGCAGCAGCAGCAGGAGGATCAGCAAGAGGAGCAGCAGGAGGAGCACGAGGAGCAGGAGCAGCAGGAGGAGGAGGGGGACGGGGAGGAGTGGGAGGAGAAGGAGGAGCGAGTAGGGGGAGGACGAGGAGGAGGAGGAGGAGGAGGAGGAGGAGGAGGAGGAGGAGGAGGAGCGGCAGCAGGAGGGCGAGGAGGATGGGAGGGGGGGAGGAGCAGGAGGAGGAGGGGACGGAGGAGGAGGAGGAGGAGGAGGAGGAGGGACGAGGAGAGACGAGGAGGACGAGGACGACGAGGAAGCCGAGGAGGAGGAAGAAGAGGAGGAAAAATAAGAGGAGGAAGAAGAGGAGGAAGAAGAAGAGGAAGAAGAAGAGGAGGAGGAGGAGAAGGAGGAGGGGGAGGGGGAGCAGGAGGCTGCCCCCCTTCGCTCTCCTCTGCTCGCCGCGGCCCTGGCGGGGCGTACAGGGAAGATTCCGCGGCGCTCGCTGCGCGCCCAGAGGTCCTCGGCGCCCCCTTTGCGCCTCGGGGCCACCGCACCGAACGGCTGGCTCCTCCCAGGCTGCCGGCACCTGCAGGATCCTCCACAGCCAGGGGAGCACTGACCTGGGCTAGGGCGCAGGATCCTGAAGGATCCTGCAAAGCCCGATCGACCTGGGTTTGGATTGACCCGGGTCCGTAGATCCCCAAGCAGAAGCGAAGGTCCTCACCGCGGTCGGGGTCGGCCAGGCGTGGGAAGGTTTGTCAGAAGGAGGCTGCTTCTTAGAAGGCGCGGGCCTCGTCTACAAATGTGGGACCAGCGTCTTCTAAGAAGCAGCCTCTTTCTGAAGAGTCCCCCCCCATACCCCTTCGCGCGCGCGCCGCCAACGGGGGCAGCCGTGAGATATGCGGGGCCGAATTGGGCACAGCAGGCGGCGGGAAGAGGTGGAGCGCGCAGAAGGGGGGGAGGAGCACCTTCCGAAGGTACAATCCCTGCACGCGTGTGCCAGAGCGCGTGCACCGCGCGGAGGTGGAAGTCCTCGAGGGAGTGGCACTCGAAACGAGGAGCCACCGTCCAGGGCGGTGCCGAGAACGAGACATCCCCAGGATGCCGACACCGTAAGAGAAAACTTGAACGTTCGGAGTTCCGCGCGGATCTCTTGCATCGGCGGTGAGGGCCCACCTGGCGGCGCCTCCGCGACGCACCCAGCGCACCTCGGGCGCGCCAGGGAGGGGTGCCCACCGCAGATCCGAGAAATCCGCGCGGACGTTCGAAAGCTGATGTCTGGTCTGATTAGTGGGGGTCGGAGTTGAGCTGTCTTGGAGAATTCCAGTGGGGTCTGGGCTAAAAGGCCGCCCTTTCATGGGTGGTCAGGGGTGGTCTAAACTTGCTCGTCTGGGAGGGTTGCGAGCAGCCATTTGCCATTGTACCACTTTCTCTTACGACGAGCAGGCCTCCCGAGGCTTCCAGAGTCCCTGGAGCTCAAAAGAGAACCAGAGGTAGATCGGAGCGTGCCCACGAAGGACCTCGACGTTCGATCCTGGAAGCAGACCCCTCCCCCCTTTGGATCCTCTGGCCAAGGTCTTTAAAATGCCGTCTCGGCGCTCCTGTGAGAGGGGCAGATGGTTCCTCCTCCTGTTCCGTCTCCCACGGCCTCCGCCTTATCCTCTTCCCACCTTTTTCTCTCCCGTCCCTCTCCTCGTCCTCGTCTCCCTGCTCCTCCATATCCTCCTCATCATCCTCATCATTACCACCATCGCCATCGATATCACCATGACCACCATCTCATCATGATAACGATCGTCATCATGCTCAGCACCATCGTCTTCGTCATCACCATCGTCGGCATCATCGTCACCATCACCACCATAAGCATAAGCATCATCAGCATCATCATCAGCATCATCGCCATCATCATCATCATCATCATCATCATCATCATCATCATCATCATCATCATCATCATCATCATCATTATCATCATCATCAGCATCATCATCATCAGCATCATCATCATCATCATCATCATCATCATCATCATCATCATCATCATCATCATCGTCATCGTCATCATCATCATCATCAGCATCATCATCATCATCATCATCATCATCACCACCATCGTCATCGTCATGGGCATGGTAATCCTCATCATCAGCAGCAGCAACACCATTATCATCGCCACCATCACTGTCATCAGCCCTCCCCCTCCCTGCCCGCCTCCCTCTCCCCCGCCCTCCTCCCCTCCCCTCCCCCCTCCTCCCCCGCCCTCCTCCCCTCCCCCGCCCTCCTCCCCTCCCCCGCCCTCCTCCCCCGCCTCCCTCGCCCCCGCCCTCCCCCCTCCCTGCCCGCCTCCTCCTCCCCGGGCAGGCCGCACCCGCGCAGCGGGCCGCCGCTCGGGAGGCGTACCCGGCGGCGCCCGCTGCGGAGGTGCCGCTGGCGCCCACGCCGCAGCGGCAGACTCCGATGACGCGGGCCGGAGGGGTCAGCATCCTGGGGGAGGGGAAGGAGGAGAAGGAGGAGGAGGAGGAGGAGGAGGAGGAGGGAGGAGGACGGAGGAGGACGGAGGGAGGAGGAGGAGGGAGGAGGAGGGAGGAGGAGGGAGGAGGAGGGAGGAGGAGGACGGAGGAGGAGGGAGGAGGAGGAGGAGGAGGAGGAGGAGGAGGACGGAGGAGGAGTCAGCATCGGGGGCGCGAGCTAAGCGGTGTTTTGGCACTCGTGGACCGTTCTCGTCTTGACCTCGTGTTGCTGCGAAGGCAGAGCGAAGACAGATCGGAGGAAAGCGATCACATAAGCGAAAACGGAAAACACGGTTTAGCTCGCGCCCTGACAGTATCGTTAGACCCCGACTTCCAACGCATTAGAAAGGTCATCACGGATGTACGTCAGTTGCTTGGCCTCTGAGGGCCCTCTCTGGGCCCCAGGCCCGTCTAAAAACGATTCGGGATGCAAAATCGGTCCTGGGGAATGGGTCGGGACGTCTGGGGACCCCGTTTTATGTGTGTATAGATATATACACATACACACATACATACACGCATTTTTAATTATACAGATATACATATACATGTATACAAATATAGTTATATATATATACACTTATAAATAGTGCTATATCTATATATATACAGTCATACATACATATAGAATGGTTCTCTGGGCTTCCCCATCCCCAGGTGGGCCAGGATTCGGTGACGCCACCAGCTTGACGTATTTCGGTGGGGGCAGGTGCCACGGAACCTTGTGGAAACGGCTTCTATCCACACCCAATTAGGCAGGTAGGTCGGCCAGCGAGGAACAAGTGTACTTGATGGGGATGGGGCGTGGTCGATCGATGCTGAAGGGGGAGGAGGCGATCGTCTTCGACGAAGAGAAGAAAAATAACCAGAAGCATAAGATGTCGAAGGTCCGCGCGCACTTCTTGGATCTGCGCTGACCCCCCACTGGCGGCGCCTCTGGCGCCGTCCCTTAGGCGCTCCGCGCGCCGGGGTGGTCCAGCTTGGATCCAGGAAAGATGTGCGAACTTGTTTAGATCATATGTTGATGCCGCCTTGATAGAAGCTCCCAGACGAACAAACGATCGATCACGCAAACAAGCACACATGTTAAGACTGCGAGCCACACAATGTAAATACTCAAGCCTTCGACTCCCGCCCCGCCCGCTTCGATTAGGAACGTGCCTCTTTTAGAGGAGTTGTTCTGTTTAGGCCAGCTCCCGGGCATCTCCCGACAGCGTATGACGAGCGGCTCGGGCGGGCGGACCCTAATGGGCGTGTCGAGCGGGCGGAACTTTGAAGCGAGCGGCATATGGCTCTCAAGTATTTTCCCTGGCAGACCCTAACGGGCGGATCGGGCGGTGGACCCCACCGAAAGGGTGGGGATTGCGGACCTTGACGGGCGGGTCGGGCTCGTGGGAAGGCCAGCTTTCGGTGCTGATCATGAAGGGCTGAAGCATCGAGTAGGAGAACTGTTATTGTAGGGACGCAAGTTTGCGGTGCCGAGGCCAGAGTGCCACGCCTGAGTAACAGGCGCGGACGTATCCGGCGGGATAGCCGGTTTTGTTGGAGGGCTGGTTTTCGTCGGCGAGCAAGTCCAGAGAAAAGAAAAGTCTCGAACGGGAGCGTTGTTGTTCGGGGGCCGCTGGTTTCAGCGGAACCTCGAAACGCTGAAGGCTCGCTTTCAAAGAAATGTTAGGCGGCGCCGAGGCAAGAGCGCCACGTCGCGTAGGGAACGTCGAACAATAATAAGAGGCACGCGTGCCAAGGATCATACAATCACGGACGCGGGTCAATGGGCGATGGAGATGGTGCCAAAGGTAGTTTCGGGGAAGCGCGCGAGTGTTGCGACATGCTGGCGAATGACCATCACGGGGGAGCGGCGAATAGCAGCATGGCTGTGTGGACGCAGCGCCAGGTTCGATCCGAAGGCGATCTTCATATGACGGGAGAGGTTAGCGAGGCTTCAACGGCGTGTTTTATAATGCAGGGCACCTGTAATTATGGAGCGAAGCGCTTGGTCCCAAAAGGGGGAGCGCGATGGTATGCGTAGGCTAGATCCGCCACGGTGTCTTTAGCACGTTGTGGAGTACTCCAGGGCCCATGCAGCTCTGGGAGGCACGGGGGGGTGTAAGGTTCGGTCCAAGACGCCCAAGATGGCTTCCAGACCGCCCCAGATGCCCCCAAAACGCCCCAAGAGACCCTCAAGAAACATGTCGAGAGGGCCCCAAGAGACAAACATAATAGATGGTTGATAAGTGTTTGAAAGATCGCTCGCTCTTGGGAGCCTTGGTGCGAAGAAATTGTTACGTCACTGTGAACTCGTTGGGGATAGGGGGGAGCACCGGGGGGAGGGAGGGCACGATCGGTCGTTCGGAATAAGCAGAGGGGGGGCACAGGAGAAAGGGAGGGGCACGGGGGGCCACGGTTGAGCTGAAGTGGGGGGGCACGGTCGCTCGGTCTAAATAAGCAGAAGGGGGGCACGGGGAGAAGGGGGGGCATGGGGGGTCACGGTCGGGCAGGCGGAATAAACAGGCGGGGGCCACGGGGCGGAGGGGTGTGGGCGGGCACGGGGCGGGAGGGCACGATCGGGCAGGGGGGGGGCACTGTCGGTCGGTTGGCTGGAAAACAAACGGGGGCCATGTGGCGGAGGGGTGCGGGGGGGGGGGGGGAAGGGCAAGGGGAGGGCACGGTCGGGCAAGGGGGGGCGCGGTCGGTCGGTCGGTCGGTTGGAATAAGAAGCAGACGGGGGGCCACGGAACGGAGGGGCGCAGGGGGGCGCGGTCGGCCGGTCGGTCGGATAAGCAGACGGGGGCCACGGGGCGGAAGGGGGTGCGGGGGGGGCCGGGGGACGGGGGGGCACAGTCGGGCAAGGTCGGTCGGTCGGGGAAAAAACAGACGGGGGCCACGGGGCGGACGTGCGCGGGGGGGGGGGGGGGACGAGGGGGACGGGGCACGGTCGGGCAAGGCAGGCGGGCACGGTCGGCCGGTCGGCCGGAATACGCAGGAGAGGGGGGGGGGGCACGGGGGGGGGGCGGAGGGTTGCGGGGGGGGGACGGTCGGGCAAGGCGGGGGCATGGTCAAAAAGCGGACGGGGGGCCGCGGGGCGGAGGGGCGCGGGGGGGGGTAGCACGGGCAAGGGGGGTGGGCACGGTCGGTCGGTCGGTCGGAATATAAGCAGACGGGGGGCCATTGGGCGGAGGGGTGCGGGGGGACACGGTCGGTCGGTCGGCCGGAATATGCAGACGGGGGGCCACGGGGCGGAGGGGTGCGGGGGCGAGGAGGGGGACGGGGGGCGCGGTCGGGCAAGGGGGGGGGGGACACGGTCGGTCGGTCGGTCGGAATAAGCAGACGGGGGCCACGGGGCGGAGGGGTGCGGGGGGAAGCGGGGCCGGCACGCATCCCAACGCACATCGTGGCCCAGATACCCCAGCACACCCAGGCCACACCCCAGCACGTATCCCAGCACACGAAGGCAGCACACATCCCAGCACGTATCCCAGCACGCGAAGGCAGCACACAGCCTTGCACACATCCCACCACACGCAGGCAGCACACGACCCAGCACACATCCCAGCACACATCCCAGTCCAGCGCACATCCCAGGCACGGTCGGTCGGTCGGTCGGTCGAGATAATCAGTGCGAGGTCACACCGACAGGTATGATAGGAATTGCTTAGTAATCCAGCACACACACACACACAAAGCGGTGCATTGTCACACAGGAGGAGGAGCAGCAGCAAGAAGAGGAGTAAGGGAAGGGGGGCGATTGAGAGCGAGGAGGAGGAGGAACAGCAGCAGGACGGGCTGGAGCAGGGGCTGAAGGAGGGAGGAGCAGGAGGAATGGCACGACGACAACGGCGACGACGACGACGACGACGACGACGACTGCGACGACGACGACGACGACGACGACGACGACGACGACGACGACGACGACGGCGGCGGCGACGGCGACGGCGACGGCAACGGCGACGGCGGCGCAGCGGCGGCGGCGGCGGCGAGCCGAGGACGCCGTGGCTAGACCCCCTCGACGTTATCTGCAGCGTCCTGCAGCCGCTGGCGCCGATGGCGCCCATGACGCCGGCGCCGCCGCCGGCGATGGCGCCATCGGCGCCGCTGGCCCCCGCGGTGCCGCTGGAGCTCGGGGCGTACGCGTACCTGGCGCCCCCCGCGCGCTCAAGCGGGGGGGGGGCAGGAGGGCGAGGAGGAGGGAGGAGGGAAGGAGGCAGGGAGGGAGGGAGGAGGGAGGGAGGGAGGGAGGGAGGGGAGGAGAAGGGAGGGAGGAGGATGGAGGGAGGAGGGAGGAAGGAGAGGAGGAGGGAGGAAGAGGAGGAAAAGGACGACGAGGACGAGGAGTAGGACGAGGATGAGGACGAGGAAGAGGAGGAGGACGAGGAGGAGGAGGAGGAGGAGGAGGAGGAGGAGGAGGGGGAGCAGGACTGAGGAGGAGGACGGAGGGTGGAAGAGGAGGAGGAGGAGGAGGAGGAGGATGAAGAGGAGGAGGAGGAGGGAGGGCAACGAGGAGGGACGGAGGAGGGAGGAGGAGGAGGTGGAGGGAGGGAAGAGGAGGGAGGGAGGAGGGAGGTGGGAGGGAGGAGGGAGGAAGGAGGTGGGAGGGAAGAGGAGGAGGGAGGAGGGAGGGAGGGAGGAGGAGGGGGAGGAGGACGACGAGGAGGACCAGAGGAGGAAGATGTACTTACTGGGATACCGCTGCTCGTCCTGGAGAGCCTTCGTCGTCACGGCTGGACTCTCCTCGAGGTTCTGGTCAGAGCGCGCCCCGGGTGAGGTCTGGTGAGCAGAGGTCGCGATATATTGTCGTTCCCCCCGAGGAGGAAGAAGGAGGACCCCGGAGGACGAAGAACGATATGTTGTCGTTCCCCCCGGAGGAGGACTCCGCTCGCCTTCCTCCTTCCTCCTCCTCTTTCTCCGCTCGTGGGGGGGGGGTAGGGCCAGAGGGGAGATGGGCGCGGGAGGACGGGAGGAATCGTCATGAAGGAAGGAGGTCCCGAGGGGAGCGGGTCCCGCAGGTTTTCGGCGCTTCTCGGGCTCCTGGGGTCATCCACGGGCGCCGAGGCCGTCGAATGACGATTCGGGATGAAGCCCGCAGCGGCCGCTTCGGTTGCCGCGAAGAAGAGCCGGGCGGCCCGCTGCTGAGACATGTGAGGCGCTCCAAGAAGGGGCTCGCCTTCGAGGATCGAGGGCGTTGTCGTCTTCTTCTCGGCGGGAGGCCGGCTGCAGGCGGCGGAAGTAAAAGATGAAGCCATATCGGCTCAAGGATCCATCGGCCACCCCCCGTCCGAACTGGATCGCAATGCCCAGTCCGACCGTGCGCAATGGCTTCCGTGCACCGTCTGTCAGAGCCGCCACAGTATCCAGCAACGCCTCGACCACTCAGCACGAGAACCAGAATGACGCTGCGATCACCACCGAGGGCAACCATGTCTTCGCCTGCGGCCGGTGGCACGTTCATCCTCGCAGCCGTGACCATCTACGTCTTTGCCGGCGTTGACAACCACACTTTCGGTGACGCAACCAGTGGAGTGAAATTTGTAGAAGAGCACACGTTTGGGCACTGATGCTGCGACGATGGAATGGCGCTTTCCTATTTGTTGCTCCGCGTCTGTTAGGTGAACGCTGACCAGCGGACCGACTGCTCTGAACACCCACGTGCTGTGAGCAAGAGGAACTCGACCTATTGGGGGGAGCCAGGACACAGGGGGAGGTGCGGCGCCCTCGGCGGGTGTTACGCGAGCTGCGTCTTTGGAAGTGGTTCTCTGGCTCCTCAGTTGCCGTCGTCGCTTCGCCTAGGATATTGTACTTGGTGGCACGTACGCTGATTTCTTAGCTCTCGCGGTTGGTTCCCTCACCCTTTGACGAACCCGCTCGGCTTGGTTGTCGCCTGAGCTCAGGTTGCCGAGTGGGCGTTGCACTGCAGCAGGTTGCTGCGCCTCGGGAGAGCGCTGGCTCACGGCATCTCTCGCTACGTACCCCCGGCGGCAGGGAAACACAGCCCGTCCGCGGTGACCTCTCGGGGCCCTCTGCCCTGGAAGGGTGCGCCTCCAGCCTGCCCCCGCGGCGTGTTCCTTTCTCTTCGCGGCAAGTCTCTAGGCGGGCCTAGCTGGGCAAGTTACATTCCGTTGTCGGCCGCGCGGCGGGGAAAAAAAAGAGTTGGTCCTTCTCCTGCGCTCGCCGGCGCCAGCGAATCTCAAAGTAATGTGGCCGCAGCGCCGGCGGCGGGCGGCGGCGGGCGGCAGCGAGAAGAAGGAGGAGAGGAAGGCCGCGGCCGTGGAGGAGGAGGACGAGGACGTGGTCTTCGACCTTTTCGGCTGGGCGCACCGCGGCCGGCTCGCTCCGCGAGACTGATATATCTCAAAGTAATGTGCAAGTCTCTGCTTGCCAGCATTGCTGGATGGCCGCCCACACCCCAGAAAGGGGGCCGGGGGCGCCTCTCCTTCAGTGCCGCCTCCGCAGAGGCGTGGGCGCGTAGGGGCGGGATTGGAGGGTCCGCAAGGCAGACGCCTTCGTGACCCAGCTCTGGCACCCCCACTGCGTAGCTTTCGAGAGCGACCATCCTCCACATGAGTCGCCATATCGCGCGCCGAATGATGGTTGATATTAACCCTAAGCCTCTCACGAAGGGCCCGTCCTGCAGGTGCATTGGGCGCAGTGTTGTGACAGAAAAGAATAAAAGGTGCGCCCCCAAGTGGTGGCAACATTTTTCGGTTCAAGGTTCCCGGAGGCCGCCACATGTATGTGACGTCCAGCCACGCCGAGCCAGCTGCGGGCGCTTTCGTTAACCGCTAGCGCGCGGCCCGTGGCCCGCGGCTGCATTCGGGTGGAGCTGGGACCAGGATACATGGCTCCAGACCGTTATGAAACGTCTTCAGAGCGTTCCGAGGCGCTCTGGCACGACCGTGGCCTCCGATCGTCCAGGACCGCCAGCTCTCGGAGATTCCGGGTTCTCTGGGCCTCCCAGGTGGGGTCGGAGATGCGACGGCGATGCGGCACGCTCTGCCGGCCCCACCTGCGCGGACCCTGGCCAGGAGACCTCGAGTTGTCCCGCTCCGATCTTGTCCTGGTCGTGGCCTCGCCCCCGGCGCAGCCGACTTTGGACGCCCGAAAGGGGTACGGACAAAAATGGGCACAATGCCCAACAACAAGTGTGGTCCTAAACCAACAGCGGCCGCTGTTGGGCAGGCGGCCTCCTGTCTCAAAATGAGCACGGGCCGCGGCGGCGCGGACAGCGAATCCTCTTCCAAACGAACAGGAACTGCTGCTGGGCATTGTACCCGTTGTTTCCGTACCCGCGCGGCAGCTGGCTCACCCGCGCGGCTAGCTGCATTCTTTCGCCGAGAGGGCGGAGCAGCTCGTGCGTGGGAGGCCACAGTGCGCTGGTGGCACAGCTGCTGACTCATGCTGGCTTCACCCTGCTCGCGCGCCGGCCAGCGCAAGGCTTCCGAACTGAACTTTCCGTACCCACTCCGTTCGTGCCGACGCCGACGGAGGAAGCGGACGGGCGCGCCCACCGGAGCAGCCTCGCGGGCCGCACTCTGCGCGCCGCGCTGCCCGCGGGCGCCCCGACGCCTGCAGAAGCGCGCCGTTGCCTCCTCGCGGCGAGGAGCGCGCTGGCGAGGCGAGCGAGGACGGCCCCTGCACACGGAGCCGGCGCGTGTTCTCCCACGAGCGCTTTTCCAGGAGGGACACCGGGCGATCGGGCGACGCTTAAGTTGGACGTGTCCCTCTACAGGGGGGATATTCAAAAATAGTCCAAACATGGTCTGGGGACGATTTTTTACTATTTTTGAATATTTTGGGGGCATTTTTTGAGTATGTTTTATTTGTCGCACGAAATCCCCCTGTAGGGGGACACGCCCGACTTAAGGCGATGCCCTCCTTCCCCTGGCTTTTCTCAGGTGGGCCAAAAGGTGATACTGAACAGGCACAACGAATACAGATGGCTGTACATCGCATGAGAACACCAGGTGTGTTCACCCTTTTCGGCCTCCGGGGGCCTTCGCGGGACCCCGGGGCCGTCAAAAACAGCTCAAGATGAGAAGCTGGCCCCGGGGAGAGGATTGGGATTTTGGGGGACCGCGCATTAGAGAAATCAGAGCATCGGATGTCTGGGCGCGGGGCCTCCTCGAGCCCGCCCCCCCTGGGGCGGGGGGAGAGCGATGATTTGCCTGCCCCGCGGGGCCGCCCTCCCCGATCAAGAGGGCTCCCGCTTCCACGTCCCCGTCGGCTTCGGCAGGCCCGAAGCAGTGCGCATCTGAGCGTTCAGCGGGCCAGGCCCTTCGGGACAGCGTCGCGCCGCTGTCGCTGTAACTCTTTCGTACGGTTAACTACGAGCCATATGATCATCGAATGGCTTTCTGCCCATCCCGCCACCATGCCTGGCTTGTGGGTATGAAGCCTATTGGATGTTCCTTGGGATCTCGTGGGAGGCCTCTCGGGGGGCATCTTGGAGGCAGTTTGGACGCCTCTTGGGGGCCGTTTCGGGGTCTCGTGGGGCCTCTTTTGCACCTTTGGGGGGCCTCTTGGGGGCATCTTGGGGGCCTCGTGGAGCCTCCTGGGTGTCTCTTGGGGCCTCCTGGGGCTTCCTTGGGGCGGAAGGCGGATGTTCGGTTCGTGACCCCTCTCGTGGGCCCCGTTTGGGGCCGTCTTGGGGCCCTCTTGAGCCGTTTGGGGAACTTCTTGGGCCGTCTAGGGAGCCCCTAGGGCGGTCTGGGAGCGTCGGGAAGCCGAGAAGGCAAACACGCCCAAATCCTTCCAAAAACTAAGGGGAAATCCATGATTTTGGCCTCGTGGGAGGCCTCTTGGAGGCCTCTTCGGGCGTATTGAAGGCCTCTTGGGCTGCCTGGGCGCCACCTTGAGCGTTTTCGTTCGGCAACCTGGGGCCCTCGTGGACCGTCTTGGGGGGCTTCTCGGGGCCCTCTTTGCCCGTCTTGGGGCCCTCGTGGGCCCGACAGATTCGCGCGATAACACTTCCAGGAGGGGGCCCTTGACAAGCCCCAGGAAGCGCGCGGAAAGCCCCTGGAGATCTGAGAGCGAGGGGTCCAGGCCCCTGAAAGACTCCCCAGCCAGGACCTGAGGGCACGCCCACTTCGTGCCCAGAGGAATGGTGGCAGATGAATCATATATTTTGGTCTTACGTAACCATCTATACATCGAAATGTATATCATAAAAACTGTATATGCGTATATCGATGTGTGTATGTATATCTATAGATAGAGAGAGTGTCCATATATGTGTATGAGTAGACTGCCTCTGCATAGTGTTCAACTTGTTGTGACACATGAATGTGTTAATATTGTGGCAGTGTGATGTGTAGCAATGCGATGATGAGTATTAGCATTTGTCCGTGACCAGTATTACACGTATTAGGAGTATGAGTTATATGTTTGTCATTCGCAGTAGGATTAGAAGGAGTAATCATAGCTTCGATTATTCGCCTTAGCATTATTCCCCCCCTGTGGCGGCGCTGGTCGGGCGGAGCCCCTGGGCCCACCTGGCAGCGGGGCAAAAGAGTCGGGCTCCGTCTCGCGCGCGCCACACGGCTGGCGAACCCCGCGCGATGCACCCGCATCCGGCGCTCCTCGCGCTGCTGGCGACGCGCATTTGCTGGCGATCCCCGTCGCCTCCCTGAGACCCAGACCTCCGAAGAGCTGATCTCCCTCCAGGCAGCAGGTGTTATCCGTCCTCCTCGTGCATGACATACTCCTCGCTTCGCATACCACTTTGAGATCTCAGGACAGACTGGGTCAAGGGCGCCCCCGAGGGCGCGAAGCTATTCGCGCTCCGCGGTTCGGCTCCGATTCCTCTTGATCCTCCTCTTCTCCCCTGGGAGGCGGCGCGAGAGCGCGAAGTCATTCGCACCTCGCGCCTCGCTCAGCGCGAGGCGCGACGTTGGGAGCCCCTGCTTGGCCCAGATTGCTCCTTCCACCCCCGCGTGCCTCCTCGAGTTCGGCCTCTGGGGCCCGCCGTCGGGCCGCAGGGCCGGCAGGGGGGCCCGCCAGCGGGCCCCGGGGCTGGCAGGCACGGCTCCAGGGCGGACAAATCGGAGCGTGAATTACCTACGGTAGGTTCGCGTCGTGTCGACCGGCGGCGACCCCGCCGCCGACGTTCAACGTTGAACGCCGACGGCGGCCCAGAATCGGTCGATGTTGAACGATCGGACGTTGCGGAGACGGCCGATCGTTCGAGGTTGAACGATCCAGCGCGGTGTCGGGAACCAACGCCGGGGTCGACACGACACGAACCTGCAGTACCCCGCTTTCGCTTCCAGGCAAAACCAAATCATACCACGCGCCTCCTCGTCAAGCGGCCTGACCAGTGCAGGCCGTAGTTTGGCATCGATTGGTATCTCTTGGAAGCGAGGGTGGTCAAAAGCGAGGTAGGTTTGTCTTCCCCCTAGGACAAATCTTTCCCCCGGGGAAGTGGTCGGGACCTTTGAGGCCGCGCCTCCGGCGATGCCGGCAGCTTGACTGGCGCAGCTGCCCGAGCATGCCGGCGCAGTGTTCAGGCGTTTTGTTTCTCGGAAAAATTGGAGCATAGACATGACCGGTGGCGGGCTGCTTCTCAATCCCAGGACTTGTGAGGGTCGGGGACGACGCTGGGGTGGTGTGGTGTATACTTGTTTCCTCGATGTCACGGGGGAAGCAATGAAAAATGTATACACCAGGGTCTCGTATACACCAGGACCCGCTCTCCAGTGCAAATTTCAATGCAGGGCCAGAAAAAGCGTCGGTGTGTAGAGTTCGATTCCTTATCTTCGTCGGTTCCCACCAGTGTTCAGCCTCCTGATGCCCTCGGGCAGCTGCGCTTCGCCGACGCGCTGGAAGTGCGAGGATCGCGCCGAACGGCCGCCGGAGGCCCGAGTTATGGCCCGAAAACCACCGAGATCCGGGTGTAGCAATTCTTCCACACCGTGCGTTTTCGCAAGCGTCGGGCCTCGGGACCATCACAGATCGATCCAGCTCGAAAACTGCCGCACTAAGACTCTGGTCGTGATTTTCCCCGATTTTGCGCAAAGTCTGGTCTCAGGAGCGTCTGGCCCAGTTTTCCCAGTAGGCCGGCCCATCGCTAGCCTGAGGGCCGCACATTGTAGAGAACAGGTCATCAGGTCGCGCTTCCGCACGTTGTTTCGAACACGTTGTTCTACCACGTGCATACGGTTCGTCACCGCTCTGTGCTCCGCTAGTTCGTATTGAAGCTAATGCCCGCATACACCGATTGCGCGCACAGATGATGTGCGCCATATGTGCGAGCTCACGGGCAAAGAAGGCACACCGATGATATTTGGAGCGCTTGCGCACAGGAGGAGACGGATGAGCAAGACAAGGAGGACGAGCAGGGAGGAGGATGAGAAGAATAATTAATAGGAGTGGTGAGAGGAGGAGGATGAGGAGGAGGAAGAGGAGGAGGAGGATGAGGAGGAGGAGGAGGGAGGAGTGCAAAGGATGAGGAGGACGAGGACGACAACGACGACGAAGAGCAGCCTGGCCCTGCCTCCAGGGCCTCCCGGCGGGGCCTCCGCTAGCAGCCTGCGGAGCGGACGCCACTTCGCCCGCCTTGGCCGCCGCCCCGTCCCGCGCGCGCGCGATGTGCCAAGCGCGTGCTGGATAACTCGGTCTCTGAGCACCAAGGGGGCAAGACGAACGAGGAGGAGGAGGAGGAGGAAAAGGTGGAGGAGGTGGGGGAGGAGGAGGAGGAGGAGTAGTAGTAGGAGGAGGGAGGAGGAGGAGGAGGGGGAGGAGGAGGAGGAGGAGAGGAGGAGGAGGAGGAGGAGGAGGAGGAGGAGAGGAGGAGGAGAGAGGTGGAGGAGGAGGAGGAGAAGGAGACGGAGGACGAGAAGGCGGAGGTGGAGGCAGAGAAGAAAAAGGAGGGGGAGGAGGGGGAGGAGTGGGAGGAAGGGGGGGGGAAGGGGAGGACAACGACGACCACCACCACCACTACACCGCGAACACAATCACGAAGACAGTGACGGCCACGTCGACGGCGAAGTTTCTGGGCATCTCGCGATGTGGCACGAGGAGGGGGAGGAGAAGGAGCGAGGAGGTCCGTAGCCATTTTGGCTCAAGCCGTTGCCCGGAACCAACCTCTGCCGGTTGTTGGAGAGGGTACTCGGTCAGGGCCCAAGTTGCCCGACGGAGGCCCGCGCCCCTTTTTGCCTGGTTGTGGAGCCAGGCCTCCCATTGTCTGCTCTGCGCTTCTTCCTTTCCACCACTCTCGGCCGCGGGATGTCGCAGAGTGAGGTGGGGCAGAAATACAAGCGCAGTCTGGGTGACACCACTCCTGGTAAAGGGGAGGCCTTTTCTGCTTCTCGTGGTCCTGGTCCTGGCGATGATGAGCTGCTTCCTGGGAAGACTCGTCACGCAGATGATGGTGCCAGTGGCCTACCCCTGGAATTGTGCCAATGGCCTACCCCTGGAAAGCCTGCACACATGTCGGTCCACGACGCGAGGATCGCCAAGCTGGGGGGAGCAGATGCAGCACTTGCAGCAGGTGCTTGGCGAGATTAAGTCTGACCCCCCACCTGCGAGGGACGCCGACTACTCGTTCCGAAAGGACCGTGGACAACAGTATCATTACTACTCGCTCCGAAAGGCTTCTTTCGCAGAAGAATGTTCTCGAGTGTTTGGGAGGGCGGTTGGCACGTTGCAATCTGGCGGGTACCGATTTTGAATTCCAGGGTGAACCAGTTGCTCGTCGTTTCGTGTTTCAGATGGCTGGGAACTCTGCGTATGATGCACGTCGTACGGCGCAGGTTTTGGGATCTCTTCGGCGTGGAAGCGGCTCGTGGAAAAGATTCAGCGCGGCCGACAGCAACATCCAGCATGAGGTGTACGTGATGGGGGGGCGAACATTCTGCGCAGGTCAAAAGGGAGGAGCTCGCCCTCAAGGACATCATGATAGAGCTGACCATCATGGCCCCAAACACCAAGTTCTACTTGGACGAGGCCAAGGGTGAGCTCTCGTCTGGCTGGAAAGGTCTGGTCAAAGTTACTCCCATAACTGGCGATGAGATTCATCAGCTGCATTTCCGCACTGCGAATTCGGCGGGGATTGGGCTCGACAAAAGTTCAGTGGCAGAGAGACTCGCCGGATGCTTAGCGAAGCCCTCGCAGACGGAGTGGATTGAATAACGCCGTGCGGGTTTTGAGATGCCCGTTGGGTGCCGACTGACCGTTACAGTTCTTGCCTTGCAATGCTCGCTCGCTCTTCCACCAGGAGGTCTCGATGTGATCTCGCAAACTCTCCTACCTCACCAAGTACATCAGAGCAGGCAGTATCGTGGCATTGCAGGGGCACCATGGGGCAAAGGCCAAGTTGGATGACTTCCTGTATCAGTCGCGCACCAATTTAAAACCTTCGCGCCCATCATCGCGGGCCACCACGCTGGCGGAGTAGCGGCGCTCGTGCCGTGCCTTGCCCATATCGGAGCGCGGGCTCCGACGGCGTCGCCCGGGGTGGTGATAGAGGGGAGGGTGCTTCTAAGATGTATCAGATGTTCGGAAGATCCTTGGATTGTTAATTCCAACCGTCACAATCACAATGTTACGGCCGAAAAGGAGGACATGCCCATTTCGTATGTTTCGAACGCATGGTTGGAGGCCGCCGAGCGCCCTCTGTCTAGGCTCGAGGTGCTCATTGGGGACTTCAACGCAGCTGCTGAGTAACCCAGGCACGTCTTGGATCACCCAAGGGAAACTCAAGTGACATTCACCAGTTGGAGCTCACAGCGCTTGGGGGGGCGCCGAACAACCTGTTCCTGGATTTTCTGGAACCCCAAGTCCCTGATCCTATCCATCACCACTGTGTACAGCATATTCTCACATACATTGACAGATGTTTCGTCTCTTTCCCCGTCGGGTGATGAACCTGCACGCGGCAGGGCAGCGTCTGGAGATGCCCGGGGCGTTGGATGCCAAGGCGGCGTCCGACCACGCTGCGATCGCCACCCAGTTGCCCAGCAGCCAACCTCGACCTCTGGAAGAACACACGATCGCCAAAATCGCCCGTGAGCGCCCTGAGTTCAAGGTGTTCCCTAACAGAATGGGATGCAGACGTGGACAAGCCCTGGGCCCCGCCACCCATGCCCTTGGACTTCACTGGGATGATTCGAGGGGCCGCTAGACACGTCAGGAACATTCTGATCAGACGTCATCCAGGCGTGGTCCTCGCGAAGCACATCGTGCTCAAGAGCATTGCCCGTGCGGCGCGGCGTCACGACGCCGAAGTCGTTGCTCGCGCGTTCGGGCCTCGCCCCCCTCGGAGGCAAGCATCTGGAGCCAGACCCGCTCACGTCCAAGATTACCCTGAAGGCCCCGCGGCAGCACCTTCTGGGTTCAGATTAGACGCGCAAGCAGGTTGCTGACAAGGAAGAAAAGAAATCCGCCGGCAGCTTGAAAGGGCCTCCCAGGACTCCTAAAGAGTAGGCTCCGTCGACGTCTCAGAAGTGTCGTTGCGAGGGCCCGTCCTCGGTCGCCTTCTGACAGCAGGACGACGCTCTCTGATGTCCGACATGCTGACGGGGCCAGCACATCGCCGTCTGATAAACTGAGGCACCCACCCAAGTACGGGAGCCAGGTTCTCACTTCTTGGGAGGTCGACGTTTTGGAGGCTTCTGAATATCCCGACAATTACTCCCCGAAGTTCCCAGGCCCTGCCAACCTCCGCCCGCCCACAGCGCCCACAGCGCCCCAGGGCGCGGCGGGGTACCATACGCTGGTTGGAGTTGCCCTCCCCATGGGGTCGAGATCCTAGAGAAGGCCCTGTGGTGACTTGAGAGGCAGCGCATGCTGGCTTCTTTTGACGATAGTCGCGGCGATTTCCTTCCGAAAGGGATTGAAGAAGGTGACCAGGAGGGCTCGAAAACCAGAGAGGCTGGGTCCACGAGGCCCCTGGGGCTCAAGAACACGGCCAACAAAAGGCTCACGGCCTCGGTCGCCCGAGGCCTCGGGAAGGCCACAAACCACTTTTTGCACTTCATCCGTCGGGGGTTCGTCCCAGAGGGGAATGTCGATTTGAACCTCCTGGGCACTCAGGATCGCGTCGCGTGTGCTTAGCCTTCGCAGGTGCTCCCCCTCCCTGCCGCCCGCCGAAGATTCAAGGATATTCCATGACAGCCATGCGTGCTGTACTTACCAGTCCCTTTTGGGCCGCGTTCCGCTTCATGTTGCTTGGGCTGCGTGGAAAACTATAGCGGTGGCTTGGTCCACCTCGGCTCAAATGCGTGAGCACCGCATGTACATGTGCATACGTGGTTGTGGTGGCAGCGATTAGTTAAACTTAATGTCCGCGTTTCCTGAACGCTTGGTGTCGAGTGGTTGGCTATGGAGTGCCGTGATGTTCTATCGCTCGTTCCGGATCCTCTGCTGACCATCCACGAGCGAAAGTCATTGATCTTCCTTTTGCCTCTGATCTCATTCACTCGCTCGCCCGTGCGAAATCCGAACTGGCTGGCATTGCAACGGGCGCCCACCTGGTGGAGCTGGTGCCGCAGGCGAGGGTGTCGTTCCGTAGAGGGCGGCAGCAGGCGTGGAGACATGTGGCGCGCACCTACGCGTGTAGGGGGAATTGAAGGGGGAGGAGGAGGAGGAGAGGAGGCGGAAATGGAGGAGGAGGAGGAGGAGGAAGAGAAGGAGGAGGAAGGGGAGGAGGAGGGCGGGGCGGAGCAGGCGAGGAGGGAGACGAGGAAGGGGAGGAGGAGACGGAGGAGCACGACGACGACGACAACGACGACGACGAGGACCAGGACGGGGGCAGCGACGAGGAGGAACAACAAGAAAGGGACGAGATGGCAGGAGAGAGGAGGAAGAGGAGGAAGGAGGACTGAGGAGGCAGAAAGGAGGATGGAGGAGAGTAGGTGTGGAATTATACAGATGCATACATACATGCACAAGCATATATTATCCCAGAGCGACCCTACCTAAGAGTTGGAGCCCCGAGGAGAGCAATATTAATAGTAACGGTAAACGCCGTCTTCCTCTTTCTCCTCATCGTCGCAGTTGTAGCAGTAGCGGTAGTAGTAGTAGTAGTAGTAGTAGTAGTAGTAGTAGTAGTAGTAGTAGTAGTAGTAGTAGTAGTAGTAGTAGTAGTGGTAGTAGTAGTAGTAGTAGTAGTAGTAGTAGTAGTAGTAGTAGTAGTAGTAGTAGTAGTAGTAGTAGTAGTTGTAGTAGTAGTAGTAGTAGTAGTTGTTGTAGTAGTAGTAAGTTGTAGTAGTAGTAGTAGTAGTAGTAGTAGTAGCAGCAGCAGCAGTAGTAGTAGTAGCAGTAGTAGTAGTAGCAGTCGTAGTAGTAGTACTAGTACTAGTACTAGTACTAGTACTAGTACTAGTACTAGTACTAGTACTAGTATTAGAACTAGTAGTACGAGCAGTAGCAGCAGCAGTAGTAGTAGTAGTAGTAGTAGTAGTTAGTCGCAGTAGGAGTAGTAGCAGTAGTACTAGTAATAGTAACTAGTATTAAAGGAGCAGAAGCAGCAGTAGTAGTAGTAGTAGTAGTAGTAGTAGAAGTAGTAGAAGTAGTAGTAGTAGTAGTAGTAGTAGTAGTAGTAGTAGTAGTAGCA